TTTTCGCATCATACACTGGATGACTGTATTGAATATTGTATCTGACTTGGTTTTCTTTGTTTATGCTAGCTCGCTCGAAGGTCATCAGATTTCTTAGTTTGTATTTGTTGTATAAAGGACATTTTATCCGTTTGGTATTACACTGCTTCCAGTTTATTTTTTCCGCACTTTATCACTTTCTAGATATCATGAGAAGTAGGATAATAAAGAGTGTACGCTCGAAGTCATTGTTTAAAATCCTTTAGAAGGCATTCCGTACTTATTTGCTAATTGTGTTTGTTGATTATTTAAAGACCTACCTCAAAGTAGGCATTTCGCATGTGTTTGCATTTGTGCCCAAAGACCTCAAAGAGGCGTCCCATTCCCATTCCCCATTGATAAGTCCTCAAAAGGAAGCAAGGTGAGTAAAGGGTCTGCAATCGACCCCGTTATTTCTAGTTTGTGTCAACTTTAGCTTGCATTGTACGCCAATGCTTTGGAGTGTGCTGCTCTCGTTATCGAGTCTGTCAGATGGAAAATGGATTTGTAACCAATCACCCACATTTTGTCTTGAACTCACATCAGACGATGCTAATGCTCCGTGTTTGTTCATATTGTCTTCTATATCCTACCTTGATTCTTGATATCTTGGTTAGATTCTTAGTCGCCTTGGACATTCACTTCCCTCTCTCGATACTTCTTGCCTTAGTAACATGATACTTTGGTTAAGAGTAGATTTCAAGACCCCTTCTTACCTAAATGAGATATCTATGGTTAGGAACTTCCCCCATTTCATCTACCTCGATGATTTAATATCTTGGTTAGGCCTTTTGACTTGAGCTAGTGTGTATTGCTCATGACATGTGTGTGCTCTATTGAGCTTGTTGATTGCTTGCTTGCTTTCTATCCTGATGTGAATGTTTTCTTAGGTTGTGAACCATTTCCATGTTCCCTTAGGAGTTCTTGATTCACCCTTTTACGACGATTCGAGATAGACATAAGTTTAGGTTGTGAACCTTTGTTGTGTTCCCTTAGGACTTCTTGATTCACCATTTGGTGGCGATTCAAGATAGACATTAGGTTGTGAACCATGCATGCTAGCTTAGTTAGAGATTTCCCTTGTATCCTTGACATTAGGGCCATAATTGTATGATAACATTAGGGATAAAACTAGAGAGTCTCCCTTAGTTTTTTTCTTTCTTTTGCATCCTCAAAACTAAAACCTTTTTCTTGGAAAATGCATAAAACATCTAATAATTTTCAAATCCTTTTTTCAAGGTAAAAAAACATCAACCAATGCAAACTCTTTTTCCGCCTTCAGACCTTTTCTTTCAAACTTTCAAAAAGAATATGTTCATTCATTTCTGTGATGACGTATGAGTCTTCAATGGTCGAGCTATGACAAGAAGAGAAATTGATATTGTTCATTAAAAAATAAAGCAAACTGAATCATGTGAGCCGAACTGTGTCGCTCTGATTCCTTAAAAGGGATATGTAGGCATCTGGTCACGGGCTCATCCGAGCGAAACTTTGTAAACATTTCCTTCTTTTCCCCATGTTTTCTTTTGCATGCATTCCCTCTTTGCATTTTACTTTTAGCTAGTAAGCTTTAGATTTGAACACACCCTTTGATTAGAACAACATGAGTGGATCCTGTGGAGTACCACAGGCGTGTGGGGTGCTAATACCTTCCAGTTGTGTAACAGACTCCCTTACCCGATCTCTTGGTTGTATGATCGTGATTTCACACTTCTCAAGTTTACTCGATGTTTACCTTTCCCTTCTTGTGGGATAAAAAATGTTCGATAGCGACTTCATCTATTTCATCTCGGTGATTTGTTCAGCCGGTTGTTTCAGTTGGCGACTTCATTGGGGATACTACCATCAGGGGTAAAAATCTTCACTTGGGGAAGAAGGAAAAATCATTGGAATAGAACCCAACTGGGGTTATTTCAACCATGTTTCATTACCAGGGATGAAAAGAGTTATGATTGGCACTCCCATGCATACCACACTGGAGTAACAAGACACTTGCTCCATTGGGGAACGAAAACTTTCTCCACTAGGGAATAAAGGCAAGTTAATCCATAAGGTCCTCGAAATCTGACTTCGACTGGGGATAAAGCCACCTCATCTACTGGGAAACAGAGAAACTTTATATGGTAGCCTCAACGGTACAACCTATGCTGGGGATAACCATGTTTGTAGGATCCATGCCAACAAGAACAAGTACTGGGGAGAAGAAATCACTCCATTGGGGATAAAAAGCATCTCCATGGGACACCACCCAGAATCTCCCATGGGTAAACATGAATCTCTTCAAGAAAATTTGACAGCAACAAACTGCACTAGAGAGGAAGGATGTAAACTTCACTGAGGAGGAGAACACATGCTTCATGGGGAGAACGGGTGCCAACCTCATTGGGGAAGCACAAGGCCGACTTCAAGGGGAGTACATTCAAAAATCTCTGGTTGGTAAATAAAACGGTTCTTCCAAGAAATCTAGAAAGAAACAGACTGCATTGAGGAAAAGGAGTATACTCAAGCGAGATTACACCTTTACTGGTGATAAAGGATTCTATCTCAAGCAGATGTGCGTATTTATTGAGGAAATTGGATTCCAATCTATAGAAATCCCCATCTCTAAAGACCCTCATGTTGGTCACATACATACCTTCCTTAGTTCATTTGCTGGTACGCTTCTTGTCATAAAAGACCAACAATACCTGCAACAAGGGAAATTACAGCAACATGCCTCGGGTATAAAACTGGCAACCTTCACTGAGGAATAAACAATCCAAACTATCGACCACTAGGTAAAATCTACGGTGCAAGATTGCAACTCCAATATGTCAACTCCGAGGAGGAATGCCACTGAAAAGTGGACTTTGGAGAGGATACTGCAAAAATAAATTACAGTTCACTGAAAAGAAATCATACTGACTTCAAACAACTCCTAAACTTCTGGGGAGAATAGGAACCTCTGTAACCCGGACTTAGGTCTCTAATGAGCAGAGGATGACAATCTTACTTCTCGACATTCGCAAGTTATTTATTCTACGCCTGGGCTCAACCTGCTCCAACTCTGAAGTGGAGGAATGCCACTACATAATGCCTTGCCCCAGTCTGTAGGGCCTTTGAATAAAATCGCCTCGAAAGAACTTTATGAGATCTGTACCGTCAAGATAACCTGCCCCAGTTTTATGAACTTCAGCACACTTCCCCTGACTGACCAGAGTTGGAAGAGGTTTCAACCATGCTTGAGTGAATGCCCATGCATCTTCAGATTCTGAAATGATTCTCTTCTGATCAACGAATTCTTAGGGAGATTTGTCAAATCTCAATATAATTGCCCCTGTTTGACTGCACTTTGAGGAATCAAATCCCGACTTGAATGCCTCATATTGGATATTTTTAAGATATTTCCTCTCGACTTTGTTTCCCCATATTGGATACTTTTGAGATATCTCCTCTCGACTTTGATTACCCAGGCTGACTACATTCGACAATAAACGGTGTTGGCAAAACAAACTTGCTCATACTCAACAGAGCCTCAAAATTTTTCCCTTTTAGGGAAATTGACTTATGTCTTGAAAGTAGGCTAGTACACAACCGTACTTGAAGCAACTCCTCTTGAGAAGGCAATAGATAGATCACATTGGAGCATCAACGTGCACGACAAGCTAGCTAATGAAAAAGCATGGGGGATTGGTTACAGATTCCTGTATTCCACTTGACGGACTCGATAACAGGAGCAGCATGATTCGTAGCATCAACGCACGGCATGAGCTATGAATGACACAGACAGAAAATGGCATGGTCGATTGCGGACCCTCTGCTCGCCTTGCCTTCTTTGAGGACCTATCAATGAGGAATGGGAATGGGCCGCCTATTTGAGGTCTTTAGCACAAATGTAAATGCAAAAATCTCCTACTTCGAGGTAGGTCTTTAAACAACCACAAACACAATTAGCAAACAAGTGCGGAATGCCTGCTATAGGACTTTAAACAACGACTTCGAGTGCACGCTCTTTATAATCCTACTTCTAATGATATCTAGAAAGTAGTAAAAATGCAAGATATAAAAGGAAGCCTATGAGAATACCAATCAAACAACATTTCATAGCAAAGCAAGCAAAAGTGGAATAATCCGGAAAACTTCGAGCAAGCTAGCATCAACAATAATAATAGTCAGACATAATATCCAATGAATATCATGTGCAAAAATAAATCGCGAGCCACAAATACATCGCATCACATCAGAGTTCCTGCACACAATTCACATCCAGATAAAAACACAAAAAGCATGTTTCTCATGAAACGAGAAACAAGATAAAATCGCATCAGAAGCGAATCCACAAACTCAAATTCTTTTCAATCACATAACCAACTTTAGTTACATGATTGAAAGCTCTCACAATGTACCTAGCACAAGTCACAAATGCATTAGAAAATAACAAGGAATATCAAATATAACTCAACAATCGATATCACAAGTTAAAATGAGATATTGTCATGCATAGAGTGGAATGAAACAAGTAACGCAAGCATAAAAGTGAATTTTGGGCAGCATGTACATCATATAAAGAAGTGCGCAAAAAGTCGGTTTGATATCAATATAACTCGATATAGATGTCTAACATAGACCCATACACGTACAATGAAGCATAAACCAACAATTAAAACAAATTTCGGGTGCACTTTACAAACGGGGCAACATTACGGTTATAACATGAATTGCTCAGAAATTGATACCAGAATCAAGGAAACTCAATCACAATGGTACATAAATGAACAATAAAGCCTGCACATGAAGTATATAAAAATTGAAGCTCAAATTACATGTTAAAAGTAACCAAATAGCACTATGTTAAAAAATAGGTACACGAAATTTCAGAACAGAATCGCCTCAAAATTAGTATCAACGAACTCAAAAAAGTATATGCCTCGAATTAATTCCAATCGCAAGTGCTACTTCCATTATCGGGAAGCTGTGTGCATTTATGAGAAATTTAACCTGAGTCAAGCTTAAACAACGAAAATAAGTGCAGCAAAGTGTTCATTGGTTCAAATATCATTAATCATGAGAAAAGCACAAGCTATGAACAAGTTGATGTCTTAATTCTAAGCAAAACTAAAAAAAAATCACGTGTTAATATAATTCTTTCAAATTGAGGTTTTAAATGTCCAAGAGTTAAATCAATTAACAAATTGAGACAAAATTACATTAACTAATGAGATACAACTTGATTCTCAAAATTATGCCATAATTTCTCAATTCCAATTTTCAAGCCACTTTTGACATCTCATATGCAACACTCCTTTAATCCAAGAATCAACATCCTTCCACCAAATACAACAAAGCTCTAGCCTATTCCACACTTTAACTTCATCATAAAAATCAAATGTCTATTCTAAAATTTAATTCTAGTCAAATTTCACCTCTTAGGAATTTTATCAAACACCTAAACTACAATAGTATGTCTCAATAGAAAATCAAAGTATCAATTATATTAATGTCCAATTCAAGAATTCACAATCAATATTCAATGCAATTTATAATTCAATTCCTCAATCAAAGTTCAATTGAAGAAACACAACATGCTTATTCACAAAAGTGATTATGTAAAAAAGCACTTAAGTCAAGAATTAAGATGAAGATTACTTACCGGAATCAAAGCACAAAACAGAGGATGATGTTAATGTAGGAACAGCCGTAAAGAGGAGATGAAAACACCGGAAAAACAAGGCGGAGACGGAGGAGGTATCGCGTTCACGCGGTGGCTGGAGGGAGGACTTACGGTGACGGACTGGAGCGGTAGGCAGAGGGAGTGTCTTGCTTGCGGAATTCTGGTTGGGGAGGAAGAAGAATGATGAATTTTGACTCTTTTGTTCTTGAGGAATGGTTGAATATGGATGAATATTGTTGATGTTCTTGAGAAAAATGAGAGAAGAATGTGTTTGATATTGAGAGGAGAGAGAGAGAGAGAGAGAGAGAGAGAGAGAGAGAGAGAGAGAGAGAGAGAGAGAGAGAGAGAGAGAGAGAGAGAGAGAGAGAGAGAGAGAGAGAGAGAGAGAGAGAGAGAGAGAGAGAGAGAGAGAGAGAGAGAGAAAATGTGAGAAGTTTTTGAGAGTGTGTGAATTATGAGAGAAAAATATGATTTTTGGAATATATAGTGTGGGAAAATTGGGCCTTGGATGTGAAATTGGATTGTGCCTCATTTTGACAGTGTCAACAAATTTAACGCACAATGTGAGTACAAAATACCACATCATGATCGGTATGAAATCTTGACTCGAGCTTAACATCAAAAATGGAGATTATGAAATTTATGACATGATGCCGAAAGAATGGACTCAATTAAATAAATGACGAGAAAGTTATGAATTTTCGAAGTTGCTCAGACGTTGTCTTTTCCAGTTTAGCAACGAATTTCACTGTTCCATTAGCGAAACAAGCCATAAACGGAAGCCTTCAGAGTATCGTTTAAACTCAAAGTCTGAAGCAAAGTTGTAGCTGACATCATTTGTGAAATTATGCCGAAAGAAACGTCTCAATACGATAAAAATCGAAGAAGTTACAATTTTTACAATATCGGAAAATGATGAATTAAAACTCTGGTTCATTACAATAAAATCTCTGGTAATTCGCACTTTCAGATACTTTCCTCAATGAATTGATCCTCGGCCCGAACATATGAAATGAAGAAGGCATCAAGACGGATTTTTCTCCCAAAGAATCGCTCAAAAATGCACTGGGTGGAAGTTATGAATTTTCGAACGTTTGGAAAATAACGGTTCAACACAGAATTTTCACCGTATTTCCACTGTTTCTTTTCAAAGTATCCGCATGTTCGGAGATCTTCTTTAATGAATCAGCTTCCGAGCCGAACATACAAAATGAAGAAGACATTAAGAGGATTTCAACACCTCAAGAACCGATCAAAAATATTATTCCAATAAGAAGTTTTGAATTTTTGAATGCCCGTGAAACGGAGGACCAATAATTAAATTCGGTATATTGTCTTCAAAAATTAAATTTGTTGGAGGTTTCTTCACAAAATTAGCCTTCAATCTGAACACGAGAAATGATAAGAAAATCATGACGGTCTCAATGCTCGAAGAATCAACTAAAAATACTGAATCGGATGAAAGTTACGAATTTCCAAATGCTCAAAAATAGATAACCATTAATTAAATTCAAGTATCGCTTCAGGAAAATCTAATTATTTAGAGACTCTCTACACATAATTGACTTCCGGTTTGAACACATGAAATGAAGAAAATACTAAGACAGTTCTAATGCCTAAGGAATCAACTTAAAACAGTATCCCGATTGCAAGTTGTGACTTTTTGAGCTTAAACCTGCAAAAATACTATTTCTGGTTCACATTGTCTCAAATTCACTGAAACACCCAATTCATCCGCAGTTCAGATTGCATGGAAATAAATAAGAGCTTGACGTGATGATGGCTTGACTGATCATTGGTTTAATTGCTTATGAAACGTGTGAAACACATTTAAGCCTTGAAAACCAGAACTTTGCCTTGCTGCTTTTGCCCAACAGAACAATTCCTTTTTGTTGTTTTCGAAAAGAAATACCTTGATCCCATGACCACTAATGATGCATGCAATGCTAGATGACCTACTGAGGAGTATGCATAAGAAATATGAGCCTTAGAAACGGGTAGGAGAAACTCAGGGTATGACAGTGGCACCCTATTGTAAAGACAAACCAAAATCGTTGTTATATTTCTGGTTAAAATCGAAAGTGCACCTTAGGTTAATAAGTGCGAGAAGATTGAAAGTTCAACCACCTTAGTATTTTATTCAAAACGGGATGTGTATTTCCGGAATATCTAACGTAAAATTTCTTAAAACAATAACTAGCATGAACTAGGATGATCACCTTCATTTCCAAAACCTTCCATAAACCCTTTCCAAAAACCCTTCCATCCTCAATAAAGTTTTTCACTCAAAATCTTCATTCTTATGGTTCATCATATCAAAAGGAGCCCAAGGAAGTGGAATTTAAGGTAAACTTTATTCATTTCAATCCTCATTTATCACATTAATCTGATTTTCTGTTGGAAAAAGGTTATGTGAATACCTGAATTGTGTTTTTGATTGTTAGTTGAACTTAACCGGAAATGTACTTCCGGTTTCTGTTTATGCTTATTTTCCATAAATGTATTTCTTGCTGTGTATGCTAATTAATTTAATGTTTTTTATCATATTAGGTATGGTGAATACTGATGTCATTCTCAAATCTAATGTGTCTCAATTTGTTTCACCTCTTGTAACTAAGGTGGTAGATATTCAGGATCATTTTAAAAATGAACCAGAGTATGAATTTCGCGATGACATGCTGCAATGGATTCGTACATAGGCCATCAAACTAGGGTTTGGTATTGTCATTTCAAGGCCCAATAATGGTTTGGATAGAAGAAATGCATTTGTGACTTTGATATGCGAAAGAAGTGGGAAATATATACATCGTATCTGGAATTTCATACGAGATGACACCAGTTTAAGAAAATGTGAATGTCCATTTAGGTTGTATGGTCGTCGATTGGAAAATAATAAATGGAAATTTAATGTGATATGTGGTTTACACAATTATTATTTGTATGATAAGTTAGTCGGTCATCCAATTACATGTCGATTTTTTCCGGAAGAGAAGGAATATATGTGAGACATGACAATAAATTTGGTACCTCCCAAAAACATACTTGCAACTTTGAAGCACAAAAACCCGAGAATTTCTCAAATATCAAGCAAGTGTACAATATGCGCTATCAATCCAAATTATCGCTTAAGGGGTATCGAACCGAAATGCAACACCTCTTAAGACTTCTAGATGATAACAATTACGTTTCTAGGCACCGAAGATGTGAGGATGGAGTAATAGTAAGAGATATATATTGGGACTTATCTTGATTCCATTAAATTGTTAAATACATTTCCCACTGTGCTTATAATTGATTCGACATATGAGACCAACAAATACAGGTTTCCATTGTTGGAAATTGTTGGTGTTACGTCAGCTGAGAAGATGTATTCTGTTGGTTTTGCATTTTTAGAGTGCGAAAAAGAGGACAATTTTGCATGGGCTTTCGAGGTTTGTCGGTTAATGTTGAAGGACCAAGAGTATATGTCGAAAGTCATTATCACCGACCGTGATACCACTTTGATGAATTTGGTTGCAATGGTATTTATGACTTCTTATGCATTACTTTATAGGTATCACATTACTAAGAATGTGAGAAGTCGGGTTAAACCCGCGGTAGGGACGAAGCAGTTAGAGATCGAAGATGGTAAATTGGTAAAGCAGACATTATTGTGGAGAAAATTATATATGCATGTAATTTTATAATAAATACATCTACAAAAGATCTATATGTTGATAAAGTTATACATTTCAGAAAGGTGCGCATGAAATATCCCAGTTTAGTAAAATATGTTGAAAGCACAATTTTAGATCAGGTAAAGGAGAAAATTATTTGTGCTTGGACCAATCAGGTTATGCACCTTAGAAATACAATAATAAACCGAGTCGAGTCGGCTCATGCTTGTCTGAAGAATTGGTTGGGAAATATAAAGAGTGATTTGTGTGCGGATTGGGAATCTGTGAAACAAATGGTACTAAACCATCATAATGAAATTCAAACATCATTTGGTCGTAGTATCACAGTGTTGGAGCACATGTTCAAAGATAACACTCTCTATTATCAATTGTTCAGCAACATATCTCGATCAACTCTGAATTATATTTTCCATGAAGCCAAACAAGCTTCAAATTTCAGTTTCGAAAGCTCAAAGTGCGGTTGCACACTTGTGAAAACATATGGTCTCCCATGTGCTTGTGTCATATTTAAGAAGGTGAAACTTAATTGCCCGATACAAATGGACGAGGTCTGTAGTCATTGGAAGAGTTTTAGTTTTGATGACGACGGTGTTATGAAAGATGATAAATCGAATATATCAATCTTGACAGAATGGGAAACAATACAAGAAAGATTTTTGAAAGCCGATGACAAAATAAAACTCCACATCAAAGAGAAATTGAGGAAGATAGCATTTCCAGAAACCATCATCTCAACCGGTAAAAATAAAAGGAGCACCTAAAAAGGTCAAACCAACACTGAGTGAAAATTCAACGATAAGGATTCCTTCATATTTTGAACATGTTGACAAGGTATTTCCCGATTCACCGACTCTAAAATCTCATAAAAGTATTTTCAAAGGAGCCCACATTAGCAAACCACCTTCTACACCGCCTCCACCAAAAATACTATTCATCAAAGAGATGTCGATTTTTATGCATAATACATTGAATGGATCGTCAATGTTGGTGGTGATAAAAATGGTGGTTTTCGGGTTGTTTCTAGTTTGTTGGTAAAGGGTAAGACGATCACTAACTTGTTCGCGATACTCTTATCATAGAGTTGAGGAGCAATAGATAATTATACAAACGGGTGCTCGGGACTAATGAAAAAAGTTGAAGAGATTTATCATGTGGTAGTCCTTGCGTTAATGGATTTGCACTGGAGGAAAAATGGATGTGCTTCTCTAAGATGGGTCATCAGATAGAAAGTGCATATGAGAGAGTGTGTATTAATCTTACAAGATACAATTTCTCTTAAATTTTTTTTCCACTACGCACTGCTCCACCAGCAAATCCCAATGACCGTATCATCTGTGTTGGGTGACTCTAAAAAACACGATATTGTGTTCAAGTGTATTTGAAACCGAGATTTCCTATACCACTTACATCACCAGAGTGGGAGAATCATTATACAATTTAATATGAGTCTTGTCTGAATCATTTTATTGAAAGGATGTAAGAGTAAACCAAATTGAACAACATTGAAATAGAAAAAAAATAGAGAAAAGTCAAGGGAGTACCACCTGTGGTTTTGTCGGGAGACAATTATTTCGGGTCATTTAAGTAATTATTTATCATATTATTGTATGCAAACATTTTGTTGATGTATTATGCTGTGGAATGCAGCCATTTTGTTATTATGTCTATATGCTGGGTTTTTTCCTGCTTTTGTTTCTGTTTTTCATACCAGGGAAGTTACCAGAAATGTACCTCCAGTTTAACTAAAGGTGTAACCGAAAATGTATTTCCGGTACACACCCTATAAGCATATAGGATTTATATGGTCCATAATAGCCTCCAACTATTATAAATAACCTCATTCCTCATATTGTTACATACTGAAACACAAAAAAAAAATCAGAAAGAACATCATTTGACATGTTGAAAATATTCACTTTACCGGCAATACGCCATCACAAAAATTTAAGATCACCGAGTACATCCCTTTTAAAGATATACAATACACACTGCATGAGCTTCTACTATATGGTGACAATCGAAAAATTGTAAATATCGAGTGCCGCTCGTCATCCATTGACAATGAAGGGAAGCTTCAGTTCATCAATCATGAGCTAAATACGAGGGATGATTTACGGGCTATGTGGAGAACCTTTTTCCATTTAGAAGCAAAAGTTTCGCTCAAGCTGGTTGCGACTATTGCGAGATCGATCGATGATATTATCAAGATGTTGCAACGTTCACCTGGAAGTTGAAGTGTAGTGTTTGAATTATGTTAAAATCCTTAATGTATTGCTTATGTTATGATATCAATGTTTGAATTATGGTATTTTGAGTTTGTGAATTTGGTGTATTTCAATTCTGTTTTTTTGGTTTTTGTGTATTACAATATCGGAAATAAAATTGCGGTATCCAACAAAAATATAACTCCGAGAATAATTTATGTTTTATCACATCTGGGTGCATCTTAGAAATGCATTTTCGATTTTCAGGAGCATTTATGTATTTTCGCATGGTGCGTTAGAATGCATGTGATGGGTTAAGAAATCCCCCTAATGTATAACTCAATTAATCTCTAATACCCACAAGAACTTAAAAAGAATAGGTCGGGTTCAATTGGAGCCCCAATTGTCTCGCCACTCTATTTTGAATAAATGTGGGTCGACCCACTTTCAATGAGTATAAATATGGGCTTTTGTTAGAGTTGGCCCAAAACATGAAGGGTTTGTAGTATGGTGTGGCGTATGAGGGAAAGTAAGCTTATGTGGGGTCAATATTGGGTGATGAATTGGTTGCTAGTGGTGGGTTCTGGGTAAGGGTTGTGGAATCCGGTAATGTCAATTGGAGGTGTGTGGATTCCTCAATAGAAGGTGAAAATTATGGTTTGAAAATAAGGTGATGAAATGATCGCTTACAACAATGACTGGTTTGGTAACGCTTGTCACAGTTGTAATAGAGCCCCTTTTCACGGTAAGCTTGGAGTTCTTCCGGAAACAAACATTTAATGGTTGAATGAGGTTTAGGTGGTGATACAGTAAGAGTCAGTTTAAAAGATGAAGACGACGGTGGGATGGGTTTTGGTGGTGGTAGTTAAGAGCTACGTCGATCCGAAAACTTTGTCTTCATGCAACTTAGCAAGGCTGACTTGAGCAAGGGTCAGAGGTTGCAAAGCTTGAACTGCGTTTCAGGCCAGAAATGAAACAACTTAAGTAAAAAGGTGTTAGTAAGCCGAAAATCCAGTTGGCAAAGGGCTCGAACTGGATTTGGTACTCTTTTATTGTGGTGGTTTGTTAGAGTTTAAACAACATACCTTTTGGGTCGTTGTACATCGATAGTGTTAATGCGTTAGACATTTTTAGTGTAGAGATAAAGATAGATAAATAAAATATTAGTCTATTTATATACAACTAACTTGTATACTAAGTAGACTAACTAATCATAGTCGATCTGAATTATTTCTAATTTTTTTATCAAATTTAGAAATTTGTCGATCTTCAATCATTTGGTGAAAATGTCGGCCAACTGTGTTTCAGTTGAGCAATACCTAATTTCAAGTTCACCTTAATTTA